GTGTATTGTTGTCAGAGTTTATGCTTTTTGACATCTACGAAAAACATCGAATTTTCAGGTACAGTTTGGTTTAATGATACACATCATTAATAAAACAGTGTTATTTCCGTAAGACATCATATAAGAATAGTCTTTGTTTTTATATATTTTAAGCTTTGACAGCTTTTTTTTTTGTTATTCATATACTTTTAAAATTATATAGTAGTGCTCAACAAAGCATTTAAAAAAATCACTTGTTCTGTCGTTGTGGAAAGATGAAGCGTTTCTTCATCGGGCATTCTGTCCGCATAGTTCGTAGTACTATTGTTTATTGCACACTGGAGTTTTGAACACGCAAATCCCTGAGAGATTTCTTATACGGAATGCTTGAAGAATGAAGCATTTATATCGTTCAGAGCGTTCGATACATAAGAACTTTTATTCCTGAGCGTAAAGCAAAGTTTAAAGACTTCGTCTCTTTGTTTAACTGTGTAACTGAGTGTTTTCTGATACATCGTGCATAATATTCTGACAAAATGTATATAGCCTTGGTCGCTTTGTTAGTTTTTTTCTCGTATAAAAATGACATAAATTGGCGGTAAATGTAACACTCAGAAAGGTTACTTAATTTAGAATTTCAAAATCGAGTATCTGCAATGTGTCCACTGCGGATATCGAACCTTGAATTTTAGCGTTATACGCTCTCAAGTTTACTTTTGACTCAATGGGGGGGCTTGATTTAAAATGTATGAATTTTAAAATAGTTTTTGATTATATAATTGAAACATAACTTTTTTTTAACAAGGCTTTGCCTTTGATAAAATAGGCAAATTTAATTTGGATTTGCTTTGTTTTTACATTTACTAAGTGAAAGTAAATTTTCGTTACCGATGTTTCAACAGCAGTAACACCCTACTAAATATTTATATTACTACATAATTTATTAAGGAGAAATAAATCATTTTAAATGCTGTATGCATATAAATAATTCTCACTATTATCAGTATTATCAATAGTTGTCTTTCTGAATATCTTAAAAAGTATCATTATTATTACAGCGCGTTTTTTATGAAATAAAAATAATGGTTGAGTTGATCATTCTCTTTCGTTTTTCCTTGCCCCCCCCCCCCAGTGGCACAGCGGTATGTCTGCGGACTTACGACGCTAAAAACCGGGTTTCGATACCCGTGGTGGGCAAAGCATAGATAGCCCATTGTATAGCTTTGTGCTTAACTTCAAACAAATTCTTTTCCTTTGCATATATACGAGTATATATGTATTCCCATAGAGCAGTACACATGCATAGTTTTATAAAACTCATGTCATTATTTTTCTCTCGTAGTTTTGCAGAAACAAATCTAGTTTACATTGATAAACCACAAGACACATTCTTTCTTTTCAACGTAAAAAAAGTAAAACACTCACATAATAGGTACTATATTAGCCACTGACAAATATTTCATTAAAATCAAACCAAACGTAAGTTTTAAAAAATAAGATTCTACCTAAAATATTTTACTGTAAATCTAGAGAGAGCCCTTGAACACGTGTAATTGTGTTACAGTAGTGCTATGTTGCCTTAGTTTGTAGCACTACTCTTTAATGTTTTACAATTATATGTTCAAGTGAGAGATTATACTTTTAAGCTCAAATACAAATTGACACTCCATTAAACCTAAAACAATGTTTGAAATATTAAACCTATTCTAATTTTACTTGTAAGCTGGACCTGCTAAATATTATTGAGTTTATCTTCATTAACTTGTTATTTTTACCTTGTAAACACTTAGAATGCATACCAAAATATAAACCAAAAACAATTTGACAAATGTAACTTTTTGACTGCGTGTATAGTGTATGACTTCAAGGATCCTATTTGGGATAGCAAGAGTAATCAAGCAGTAACTGTAACAACGATTAAACAATGCAAGGAAAGCTAGAGTGATCAAACAGTAACTGTAATAACGTTTAAACACTGTAGGGATAGCTAGAGTAATCAAACAGTAACTGTAACAACGTTTAAACACTGTAGGGATAGCTAGAGTAATCAAACAGTAACTTTAATAACGTTTAAACATTGATCAAACAATAACTGTAGCAACGTTTAAATACTTTACTCTTAGGTGGTCTATTACAGGTTATCACTTTATCCTTTGTTGTTGAACATAGCTGAATGGGTTCTATGCTCAGCATTGTAGCACACCAAGGCGACTGTATTATAAAACATAAAGTCTTAATTTAACTCTATGTATATCCATCATTTACAAGACATTGGGTTTCATGTAACACCAATTTCACAAAGCCTAATTCCTTTTAAAATAATTAGTGCAATTAAGCATTACAATAAACTGATAATAGAATATTGATTACTGTAATTTACTGATTGTCAGTATAAACATATTATCATCTCGAATTGGTACTAATTTATTAATCAAGTTAATATCTTTTCTGTGAAAACTTAGAGCTTTGAAATCATTTAAAATTAAATATCAAAGCCTAAATCACTGTGCATTTGGAAAAATGTGTTCATAAGTCAGACACATACGTATCATGAAACAATAGGATTATAAAATATAATAAAACATTTGAGACCAAAGAAATAATAATGAAAGAAAATGATTTGAAACCTAGTTGTAAATGATGGATTTGGTGACGTTCTAGCCTAAATAAGATATTCATTTAAAATGTGATTCTTTTCGAACTCATTTTCTTTGACCATTTCACTTGAAAAACTCTAGAGGAAGTAAAACACGTTTTCGTTTCCTAAGTGTACTGCTATATTACATCCGAATTCTATCACTTTATTATACTAAAAGCTTTGAAAGAATAAATGCAGCTGAGTCTGTGGGCAAGTTTAACACATTGAACCTAAATTCCCGATAGTCATTTTTGGGACATATTATTTCTTTCAAATACCAAGATATATTTACGTTGTTTAGTGCCCATTGCGACTATTGGTTCCAATATTGCTGGCTATGCTCGGTTAGAATTACTTACTATAAAAAATACCTCATGTTTCATTCGTGACGATCGTTGAAACGGCTGAAATAGGTTTTATTTATTTTCTAACTTCTGTATTCTTCCTTCGAAATGTCTAACTCGTAAATCTACTGGAAACTTATAACTGGCCTTCTAAACTGCTATTGTGACCTAAAAGGTAAATACTTTGATAAACAGAGGACATGAAGTACTAAAACTTTGATAATATATAAAGTGCTAGCAGCTATCTCAGTAATAAAAAATATTAAATCTTCTTTAATGTGGAAATGTTTATTTGAATGTAATAACATTTATTCAGTCACTTTCTGGAGCTTTAATGCTAACTTAATTCTCCCTTGGGATAAGATGCATTAAGAAAATAAAACTTTCAGATAATTTAAAATTTAAGAGGTCGAGAATGGAAAATGTTGGTGGTGCAGACTGATAAGTATATGTTGGGTTACTCTGTTTATTTTACTAATACATATTTGGATTTTCTTCTACTTATATATAACAAAATTCCATTCAGACTAAGCTAGTCTACAAAGCTTTAAACATGGCAAATTACGGAATTATCTGAGTGTTGTATGGATGATAAGATCTGGTACCAATTTTTCTCTTTTAGTACTTATGATAGTTGCAAAATTTGAATTATTATCGAGTAGTGCTTAAGGTGTAGATGAGCTAGAGTTATACTGATTTTTTGTGAAGAATGTTACGCTTTTGACCCCATTTTTAACCTCTCGGGGGTTTATTATAATCGCTTGTATCTTTTTATTTACCTGTATGTATGGGTAAATCTTTCTGTAATCTACAAGTATCTAGGATTTAGCAATTAGGAAATATTTGTCTAACGTTGGAGCGTTGTAGTGACAAGATGTATTCGAATTTAAGGTTTATATAGTTCAAAGAAACATAACTATGTTGACTGTAACCAGAATAATTTTAAATGATTTTACAACAATGATTGTTTGTTTGAAGTTAAACACCAAGCTACACAATGGGCTATCTGTGCTTTGCCCACTACGGGTACCGAAACCTGGTTTCTAGCGTTGTAAGTCCGCAGACATACCGCTGTGCCACTGGGGGGACTACATCAATGAAGCCAAAAATAATGAATTTAGGTGTTAAAACACCAAAGAACTTTATTAATAATTAGATTGTTTTTAATCATCAATTGCCTGTTGGGCACTTTTGCTATTAACGAAGTAATTTAGAGTTTCGGACAGCTTAAAGTATTTACGTTCTAAATTCACACTGCCCAGCCATGGGCTAGTGGTTTAAGTACTGTGTTGCGAATCAAAGATGTTGGATTCGAGGCGTTATGCCACTGAATACGCTCTGCAATTTTAAGCTGTGGGCATGCTATAAAAGTGACAATCAATTCCATTTTGTTTTTAGCTCAAAAAGATGGACAGAACTCTTTTGGCAGCGGATGCTGCTGGCTGACTGCCTTCTCACTGGTCAGTTGTTTTTAATTAGAGACGGCTATATCTGAATCTTATGGACATCTGATATGGTCATCTAACCCATTTACCTAACATGTGCATAAGGTGAAATTCAGGTTGAAATATGCAATTTCTAAGTCCGTACGATTTGTTGTTGTTGTTGTTTGTTTTTTAAGCACAAAGCTACCCAAAGGGCTATCTGTGCTCTTCCCACCACGGGTATCGAAACTGGGGTATCGAAAATATTGCAAAAACAATCTTTTTAAATTAACTTTTAATTAAAAGTGCATTTAATTAATCAGTTAGACCTAGGTGATGTATAAGCTATTAACCATGACAACAATTGATATCTGATCGCCATGACATTACGGTAAGTACAAAAAGTACTTTATGCAAATGTTTGAACATAGTTAGTGGTAAAGTTTGGTGTGTTGACCTATGTAAGAGGTCTGCTTTATTTCGTAGAACTTTTTTTTTTTTGTCTACCAAAAAGTTAGGATTTGTTTGAGATTGATGAAGTTTAGATGCATTTGTTTTCTTTATCTATACTCTGAGGTTGCTGAAAATTCTTTTTAAGAAATGTGTTTTTTTCAGGGTCATAAAAGACCTCAGTTTCGGGAAATCCCCACGCAAAGCCCAGCTTGAGGAGGTTCATTATCCCAATAATACATCTACTCTAAGGGTTATCACTGAAGACGGCATTATACCGCTTGATACTACCAATACTCAAGCTAAAAGAAACTTGATTGCTGCACCGCCTAAGCATGTTAACAAGCCTCCTGCTCCTCCTCCTCCACAACATTGCCCAACGCGTCCTCTACCACCTATACCAACTTCAGATCAAGACACTGAATCTCTAGTTTGCAAAAACAACGTTGATGGCGATGATGATGAACTTAGGCGAATCACAAGTTCTCAGTCTTGCCAGTCAACATCACTTGGAGAAGCGTCGATATGTTCTAGCCCAGAGCTTCCACTTCCACCTCCTCCGCACACGACAGATGTTGTGGTTCAACCGTCAAGTGAACCTTTACCTCCGCCTCCAGACTCCTGTGAAGTGATAATTGACACTTCAACGAGAACGTATGTAAATTCATTACGTGATTTCATTGTTATTTTTATTTAAAAAACTATATAGTTTAGTCCTCAAATGAAGTAAGCATTTTTAGTATCACGTTGCGCATCGTGCAACTAGATTCTGTGGGTACACGTGCAACGTTTCTGAAACTTTAGAACTTCTTCAGTACTTATAAAGGATAAGAGAATTCACACAGTTATGAATAGTTTCAAAATAAGATCTTTAAAATTTTGAAACTGAGATATCATAAGCAGCAATATGATACAAAGAGAAAGGTAACAAAACAAAAAATTACGTGTTAAAACTATATAAATTAAACAATATTTGTTTCATAGGCTTTTATGTACTGAACAATACTATTTCCTAAAACTATAAAATAATACTATAGCAGAAATTCAGTTCACAATGTTATGAAAACAGTATTGTTTAGCAATATTATGAGTGAAAAGAAACAACACAGAAAACCATTTTTTTTTTCGTGGCAGATAAACATGTACTGTTGTTTTAAATATTTTGGATTTTTCACAACTTTTGTTCTGACATGATCTGTTTTGAATTTCGCTCAAAGCTACACTAGGACCATCTGCGCTAGCCGTCCCTAATTTAGCAGTGCTAGACTAGAGGGAAGGCATATAGTCAACACCACTCACCGCCAACTCTTGGGCTACTCTTTTACCAACGAATAGTGGGACTGACCGTCACGGCTGAAAGGGCGAGCATGTTCAGTGCAGTGACGGAGATTCGAACCCGCGATCCTCAGTTTGCGAATCGAGCGCCCTAAACACCAGGCCATGCCTCTTGTAGATTAATGATGAACTCTTTGTTTAATTTAATGATCAATTTCTATTTGAAGAAAGCGTGTACCAACGAATAATCGAAATAAAGTCCTCAATTTATAATCCCTGTCAGGTCATTTTTTTTATTAGAAGTAGAAAAACTACTGAAATTTAAAAGAACGATTTCACAGTATATTTATGATGCTGCAATGTTAATTCTGTCAACAAACAATAGTAACATATTAAGTGAACTTGTGCATAGCCATGTGAATAAACCTCTGGATGCCGGGTATGGCCTAGTGCCCCGGTGATTAGTGTGCTGGAATGCATATCGGAATGTCTGATGTTCGAGCTGCGATATGCTGCTGTACAAGCTCTGCACTTTGATCTGTGGAGCTTTATAACTGTGGCAGTGAATCCCTCTATTCGGTGAAAAGTTGCCAAATATTAAGCATTGGGTGCTGCTGATTGCCCTCCATCTGATCAGCAATTCTAAAATAGGGATGGCTATGCTTCAATCTTAAAGCTTTCCTGACCTGACCGTTTAGTTCATGTATTTGTGGGTTGAAAATACCAATAAAAATCACGTTGCTGCTCACACATAGGCTGGCCACTTTAATTGAACACTCACCTAATATTAAATTCATCCATTTTATGCCGCACTAATGGCCTGAAAACAGCCCCCACAAGAGAATAGGAGTTTTGTTCGATTGTAGCCTATTCTAGAGGAGTAATATCTTCAATAGGTTTGTAGATATCAGTAGAGGATTATAGTAGCAAATACAACATCCATATTTATCCCAGAAATGTTCAGTTGGATTGAAACCTAGTGATTATTCTGACCAAGAAAGAAAAAATAATTTTATGATTTTAACCACTCTCGGAGAAGATTAGCGCAATGGAGTTTTGCATTATAATCTTAACTCTTACTTCTCAGATTAGAAATGCTGCATTGTAGGTTGGACATAACTGACAAAACTCGCCTTTCTAAAAGAATCAGAAGTCCAAATTCTCCCACAGAACGTTACTCACATCGTTACATCATCTCCAGTAGTTTATTCTGTGGTTTTTAATATATTTGAATTTAAGTCTCAGTAACAAAAAAGGGTAAAGTGCGAGTCGTTGGTCTGTTTGTTTGTTTTGAAATATTCACGCAAACTTACAAATTAATTGTATGCGCATAGCCATCTCTAATTTTGCACTGATAGACTAAAAAAAGGCAGCTAAACAACAGCACCAACTACTAACTCTTGGGCCTCCCTTATCTAACCGAATAGTCGTATTTGACCATCATTTCTATAGTCCACCCAGACACAAAGTACGGAGCGTGTATTAGCAGCAACAGGATGCAACCCTTGAGCCCTTGGATGTACAGTTCGAGAACACTAACCAACTTGCGACTCCTTAAACCACATTATACATGCTTCCAGTCAATCCGGGCCAGACGTGGCCTAGTGGTTAGCGTACTACCGTGCGAGTTGCGGATCGAGTCGTGATGCTGCTAAACACGCTGTGCTTTCATCTGTGGTTGCGTCATAGAAAATAGTAGTCAATCCCTTTATTCCGTTCAAATATCCAGACATACCCCTTGTGACAGCAAATGGTACTAGCTGGATGTCCTTCCTTTTGTCAATAATTCAAAATTGTGTACAGTTATAAATGAACCCTAGGGGTCTCTGATCTGGCTGTTCATTTCACTCACATATAAGCAGTTCACGTTGGAAATCCCAATTCTTGTCGTGTCCAATGTTTGTGCTCCAAGCACTCCTGACTTAAGCCGTGTTTTTCTCTTTAGATTAGAGATAAGCGGTTTTCAAACAAGCCGTCGGTTACTACATGACCTCTATACTGTAAGGCTGAACCGTTTATGCATCAAATAATTAGACAGGAATAACGATATTGAAAATTTATTTATCAGAGTTTCTTTAAAAGCGTAAAACCAAGCTTAAAATTTAACGAAGACTCGCAAACATTTAAATGAAGCTTACTTGAAAGATATTCAATATACTTACAGATTTGCGATTTCGGACAACAATAGTATATTATGTACACCAGCTTTAAATGAATATGGTTTCTATTCCTTAGCAGTTTGGTAATTTAACCACAGATAATCATTGTTTTGCATAGCAAAAGCGAAATAAAGCTGATCATAATTACTTTATAAAACTGACGTATACATAATGTTTGTTATGAAAAATCTTTGCCCAACGGTAGAAATTGTTAAAAAATTAGGATTCTTAAGATTAATATGCACAATATATTTTTTAAATTTTATATAAACACTCTTTCTGTTTTAATTATTAAATGTATCTAAAGTAATATAATTTTGTATTTGTTGATTTTACTCTCGTAAATTTTATTTATTATCAAATTGTTCTGTTTTTTTTTATAGAAATTCCTTTCAGAATTTAAGTATGTCTTACCAAACTGGATTCGAAGATAAAAAATACAAAAGCACAGGAAATGTGACTAATCATCAATTACAGCACCCGTTGTCACCCAGCAGACAATCACCAACACAGGTTAAAGGTTGCGTGAAAGATCCGATCAATTCTGAGTATAAACATACTTACATACCACAAAACACTACTGGACCACGCTTATCTTCATACTCTCCGACAGGGCATTTTAAACATTATAGTACTTTCTTAATAAGTGGAGAGGAAGATTGTAGTAAGGAAGGTCAAAACATTTCTGCTTTAAACAACTACCAAGGATCCTCATCATCCCAATCTGGTGGCATCGGTGTTATTCCACACTCTTGGGATGATGATTTTATTGAAAATAGGCAAAGAAACACAATGACATGTCATCCATATTGTAACTCCCATACATGTAATGTTAACCAAAACTTTATGGAAAAGAGAGTCAGTGACAACGTGACTGCAGAAATTGTTGACTCCCATTGTTCTGGTGTGACTATCAAATCGAAGTCTGTAAGGCATAGCCCTTTTGAAGAATTAAAAACTACAAGTGTTAACCCTAATAATCAGTCATCTGCTGAAATGTTGAAAGATGTTTTTTCAGTGCCAAATTCTTCACTGTCTGAACCTTCATTGGTGTCGCATTCAAATGATATAAGAACACTGAATGTTTTAACTAGTCAAGAAATGTCATTCCCAGTACTCCAGTCCATACCTTCTTCATCTTCTAAATGTGATAGTTCTGTCACCTTTAGTTCTAAGTCGAGCCCTAAAGCTTTTCCTTTTCAACTTCATACGTCTTCAACCGACCATTCCTTTGGCAATTTTCCTGATTCTAGTGAAGCTTGGTACGAGAACGTTTCAGAACTCAGAAAAGAAATTATGTCACCTACCTATGCCAATATATCCAACGAGCAACAACAACAAATCAAACCTCCCTCACCTATGTCTCTAACTTATTCCAACCTTAGTACTGCATACCAAAAAGAACAGAATTATACTCCAACGCCAGAGGCTGCATTGTCTGCTGAGAACAGTACTAGGCCTCAAGTACCACAACCTTATTCTACTAGCAATATTCTGCACCAAGATAAACATAATTTTTTCTCAGAAACAAAACGTTTACCTTCATTATTTATTGATAATAGCATTAAGAGCCAAATTGAACCAACATATTCAAACAGCTTCACTGTCGAGTCGGAGAAACAGGATTCTTTTTTAATTCTAAACGATGCATCTTCAGTGTCTTTAGATAATAGCGTTAAGCACCAGGTATCACCAACGTATTCCAATATTTGCACTATAAACTCGGAAGAACAGAATTCCTTCTCAATTCCAGAAGAGGTATCCTCAACGTCTTTTGATTGTAAGGTTAAACGTCAGATGTCACCAATATATTCCAACATATCATCTGTGGACCTAGAAGAGAATAAGTTTTACTCAGTGCCGCAAGATGCATCTTCAATGTCTTTTGATAATAGTATTATGTGTCAGATATCACCAACGTATTCTAACATCTGTACTGTGCAAGAACAACAAAATTTCCCATACATGTCAGATAACTCATCCCCGTCAAGCATTGAGACCATGAAGAAACAACACATTTCATCAGATTATTCCTGTAACTCTAGTGTTAATCAGGTAAAAAATGAAATGTTTTCACTGACAGAAGAAAATGCTTTTAAGAATAACAGTGTACAAAACTGTGCAGGAAGTGATACTAACGCTTTTTTAAGTAGTAATAGAATAAGTAGCTCAACACAAACTACGGATACTCCAACACTTTCACGAAAGCGAAAATCTAAAGAAGAATTAGAATGTGAAAAATTATCTCAAGATTTCGCAAATTACTGTGGGGATGCAGTTTTAAGAAGATTGCTTGGTAAGGGCACGTTTTTTTTAATTGTAATATATTTATTATAAAAACACCATAAAAACTTTTGAAATGATTGTTTCAGGAAGTTTCTTCCATTATGCCTCACAAAGAGGTTTTAATCAAAATTTTAAAGAAACCTTATTTTATGAATATGTTTTTATAATGTGAATTAATGTCGTTTAAAATAGTTTCGTCTATGAAACTTGATCCGACAGTAGTAATCAGAACGAAAGACAGTTTGTTTTCAACATTTTAGTTTTTGATAGACAATTGCGAATCTCTCTCGTTTATTCAAACAATTCCAATATACAGGCGCAAATCACCAAAAAACCGTATTTAGACAATGTTAATGAGCAAACAATATTTTCAAAGCAGATATGAAGTTGTATACCTTATCGTAAAGACCACTGATCGCCATTGAATGAAAAAATTTTCAAATGATTGTTTCAGGAAGTTTTCTTCCATTATGCCTCACAAAGAGGTTTTAACCAAATTTGATGAATATGTTTTTATAATGTTCATATATATTAACAGTATATAAAATAAAAGACTAAAGAGGTATTGTTCCTACATATATTCATATATTTGCAGTACCAGATCCCAATCACAAAACCATGTCCGACTATTTGAAAGGATTGTTCAACTTAGAACTTGAGAGAGGAGGTCAACCTATGAGAAAAATCAAATCAACTAAAGTTACAACACCAGAAGGAACCAAAGCGTTTGCTCATCAAACTTCGGAGAACAGGTATTCATGCATCCTTTTCTACCTGTTGTGATTCACAGCTATATGAAATTATTTCTTTAAGTGGCGAAAAAGTTAATTAGAGAGAAAAGTTGTACACAAATGTCTATTGATGATGTTTACCGAACAGCGACGATTCTTGGAAAATAAACAATTAAACTACTATAATTTGATATTTGGTAGGAGGCGTTAACAAGTGGTACCGTTTCCACCCATCCACAAGTAAAATTAAACTTTAAAGCTTCGTCTTATTTTAAAAAAAAAACGTCTAAGAATGACAACACCATCACATAAAAATATTAATGCAACACTCCTATAAACATTTTATTCTATTTAACAAAATCTAGGATAAATTGTTAAAAATAACTCAACATTTTTTTCCTTTAGAATTGCAAAAAAAACCTGGAAGTTTCAAAGTAATTTTATCAAGCAACACATCGTGTCAAACTAGATGTTGTATTTTTTCATTTTCACAACGGAAGTAAAACTTTTAAGTCTTCAGTCTTGACAAATCTTGTAAAAAATAAGGGTACACTTCGTTACAATGTAGCTCAGCTTGAAACATGCAACGCTTACATGAAGTTTTCACCTGTTAAGATCGACTGTTTTCACAGAAATAAAGTAACATATCTGTATTTCGTTCTGTTCCTTCCCTTTTCAGTGAAGAAAAAGAACTTCCTCACGACAGCGCATATTTTACAACGTCCGAACCCAAAGCTAAGTTACTGACCAGATATGGAAAAAATGCAGATTACCAGAAATGGGCTTCACAGACAGAAATTACAGAAAAGAAGGTAGCGAGGATTCGTGAAGTATTACCTAAATGCATATTCATTCACTCGTTTGATAATTCTATAAAGTTTTATCACCTACTTTGTGTTTTTCTCAAACATTACAAAATACAATACTATAAGTCATTCCCGTACAATACAAAGCTGAATAAAGAGACCAAATTTTAACATGTGCTCGATAAAAACTGAAACTGTGAATAACTAGCGTTATGATATTTGAAAAAAACACTATCTTTGTAAAAAATATGCTAAAGTACAGAGGAAAATGAAAGTTTAATTGTTGAACTGGTAATTAAAAGCATTAAAACTTGCACAAGAGACGGATGTAAAAGAGAAAACAAACCCGGATTTGTATTTGTTCAGCTATATAAGAAGAATATTTTCACGAAATTTATTTCTTTTGAGATTATGGTCTAAAGGACGAAACGTGGAGTATTAAAAACTTTTAATGTTTGTAAAATATACTGTTCAAAATTAATAAAATGGATGATATATTGTAGACGGAATTACTGTTTTGTTGAATTTTTAAGAAACCGTTATAATGTGGTATTAAAGTCATCATTGTTTGTAATGAGAAGAATATGGAAGACGATAAAAGCAGAGAAACTTTTGAAAATTATTAAGCTCTGATGGCCCGTTTCAAGACCATAGTTGCAATAACCACAACAATTCAAAATAATAAATAATACATTTTTATAAGTAGAAAATAAAGTATTTATAATCAAATTTACTTTGAAACAAGATATTGTTTTCTGAAACTAAAGATTTTTTAATTAGGAAAAAAATTGATTATTCATTTTTTAAGTACACCTACGTCTAGTTGTTGCAAATTGTATTGAAATCAACTTTAAGTCTACTCAGAAATTATGATCAATTTTGAGGGCACAGACTCAACGTCAACTAAAATTTAGGGTGTTTTTTTTTACCTTTTTTGTGGGCATTATTGATATGATGGGATGTGGCTTTAAATGAAATATGTTCAACTTATGTATATTTTAATTATTGAATGTATCAATGCAGGAAGAGCTGATACCCAGTATTGACCGTAAATTGCAAATCCTTCGAGCAGAACAGATTGTAATTCGCGAAGAAATGATCCAGAATGAAACCCTAGGAGACGGTGTTACATCACGGGTGGAAGAAAGTGCTAAACCTAATGAAATAGACAAATACAAGCTACATGTGGAAGAAATGGAAAAAATAATTAATCTGTTACTGTCTATCTCTGGACGACTAGCACGTGCTCAAAATGCACTCTCGTGCCTGCCCCAAGATGCTGCGGAGAAGGAAAAAGTAGGTATTTTACTCTGACCCAGAATTCAAAATGATAACAGGTTGTAATACCTATACTAAAAACTTAATTACTTCCAATGAAAGGTAACGAATATAACTTTAAAAATAATAAAAACATTTTATTGTGACAGGAAGGAACTAGCACATGAGTGACTGATATACCAATTCAGTAGCTGCTCAGCTGTCATATGCTGTCTTGTTTTTCTATCATTGCTATAAGCCCATAACAAAACGTCCATTTATTTTGTGTTTGACAAAAAAAAAGTGGCGTTTTTTGCAAACTTGTGTATGGTGGTGGAGGGTAGTAAAAAAACAGCCAATCAGTGTATATTCAATACTGATATTTAAACTTTTACTTACAGTCCAAACGCATTATAAATACTGAAATAAAATTTAATAACATGATGTGGCAAAATGTAATTAAATTTTCCCATTTCATATCCCAGCAACAATCTCCATCCGGAAATAGCACCATAGTAAGTCAAGTGCATTCATATGAAGACAGAAATAATCGATCACTGTATTTTTACAATTCTTTATTATTTAATATACTTATATAAATAATTGAAATGATCTCTTTTTCTTTTTTTTGTCTTCTAGTGTGTGTTAAAGTCTAAGTGTGAAAAACTTAGTTCACAATACGAAGAAGCTCGACGGTTGAAAGAGAGTATAGACAAGCGTAGTCAACAAGTGGCAAAGTTCCTCCAACAGTACCTTTCTGGAGACGAATATGCGGACTATGAACACTTCATTAAGATGAAATCAAAGTTGTTAATCGATGCTCGTGAGATTGACGAAAAAATCAAACTGGGAGAAGAACAGCTCGCTGCCTTACGCAGTAGCACCGACTTCACAGTTTCGCATCGGAAAACACCTACTGTTGCGGAAACCATCCATTAAACAGTCTCCTACTGTTTGGTCTCGAAAGGCTTCAGGATTTAAGCGTACCAAATAGTAGTGTGATGACTGAATATCACTTTCTTGAATTTCCTTATCAGCTATATAGTTTCAAATGTCCAAATGGATATCGCGAGATACTCCTTCCTGTAGCATTTAGAGCAATTTTGTGTTATATTAGTATTAATTCTGTTTGTAAAGAAAAGGGTAGAAGAAGCATTATAAATTTTCTTTTATTCGTTGTTCCGTTTAATTTTTTTTTAAATATCTTGCATAATATAACTGGAACAGCATGATCATAAACATTTCGATATTTTTCAATGATTTCTAACCTAACGTAAATAGAAGAAAAAAAAGTGAATTACTTTTATATATCTACAATTTTCCGAAATGTTTTTGAGGTATGATTCTTGTTACATATGATATAAAGTTAATATTTCTTGAGAAATAATGGAAGTGGAAAAATAAACAGGATAAAAAGGTATAGTATTTTTTGTAGAAGGAAAGTGTGTCATTGCCAGTCTGCCCTATAGTAACTTATGAGTATAGTTTCATGTACGTTTAATAATGCCAGCAGGTTTTTGTAAATTACCCAATTTTTGAAAGGAAAAACAAGCTTTAGTCAATTGATTCTTTCATAGTATCATTGTACATGCCAAATCAATGTTTCAGGGGAATTTTGTAAAAGCTGCTACGCATTATGTAAATATTAAAGCAAAGCTTAGGGAACTTCAGGAGTTTTTATTTGTGATATAGGCTTATATAAATATATATATTCGATATGTACAAATAAATATTGCATAAGTTGACAGTCTAAACGCGTCTTTAATTTCCTACACCAACGATATAAAATCAGGGAATGTGTATACGGTGCGAGAAGTGTAAAATTTGCTAAGCGAAAATATTTAAGTACGAAGACTTTAAACATGCTTCTAAGTATTACTGTACTTGTAATGAGTAAAATTAATTAAACTCATTTTAGTATAACACAATATTGGATACAACAAGATTTTTCAGCATGGTTTTAACTTGATCTTGCATTACACTGTTTACATGCATGATGTACATGTATCACTGTTTGAGAAGAATCAATAAAATTTAGTTAAAGTGCTAGTGTTTTAAATGCAATGATGAGGAGCTGTATCTTTATAAGTATGTGTATAGTTAATATCTGAATCTGGAAGTAGACTAGAGGTAAAGTGCGACAAGAAGCTTATTTGGTTTACCACATTTAATTTTTTTGTATGCTAAGTTAAACTGATAATAAATTCCTAAGTTTATAGTCAGGTATATATATATAGTTGTTTCATCGCAGTGATAGTCATAGCACCACAATTAAAGCTTAACACTATGAAATCCACGATCACTTTAATAGGGAAGTACATACAATGACCTAACTAGCATTTGCTGTACTTCACCTTATACTTATGTAAATTATTTGTTTCGTTAATCTATATAGCTTTACATATAAAGAATACACTAATAAAAGCAGAAACCTATTGAGTATTTTTATTCAATCTTACTGTCTTCCGAAACCATTCTCGCCATAGCTTTACACTCCAAAAGCTCACTCTTTTATTTTTCTCGGCCTGGCATGGCCAGGTGGTTAAGGTGTTCGACTCGCAATCTGAGGGTCGCGGGTTCGAATCCCCGTCACACCAAACATGCTCGCCCTTCAGCCGTGGGGGCGTTATAATGTGACGGTCAATCCCACTGTTCGTTGGTAAAAGAGTAGCCCAAGAGTTGGCGGTGGGTGGTCAGTTTTAACTTGATTAAAACATGGTCATCTCGGGCAGCAGTTTTAACTTGATTAAAACATGGTCATCTCGGGCAGCAGTTTTAACTTGATTAAAACATGGTCATCTCGGGCAGCAGTTTTTAGGCGTATACCAGTAGATTTTCCTGGAACAACGATTCCTGTAATCCGATGACGTTTCAGGATTCTGGATACAGTACACTGATGGTACCCTACTGTCATGGCAAATTCCGTTTGCTTCATACCCATTTCTGGACAGTTGAACAACTTGACACCCTATAACTTCTGGCACGTGACGATTTGTTTGTTTGTTTTGAATTTCGCGCAAAGCTTCACGAGGGCTATCTGCGCTAGCCGTCCCTAATTTAGCAGTGTAATACTAGAGGGAAGGCAGCTAGTCATTCTGCCCGAGATGACCGTCTTTTGATCAGGTTAACGCGACAAGGTCGAAAGAAGTCTTGCAACACCTTACAACAGGAATGACATGAACACATTCATTCCAGGGTATTCAGTGAGTATGAGACTGACCAAACAAGGTTATTTTGCAAGAAGGGCTATATGAGACTGACCAAACAAGGTTATTTTGCAAGAAGGGCTATATGAGACTGGCCAAACAAGGTTATTTTGCAAGAAGGGCTATATGAGACTGACCAAACAAGGTTATTTTGCAAAAAGGGCTATCTGTAAACCGATATTAACCATGATTCAGTGTTACTTGGGCAAGACAACATGTCAACTTACAGTTAGGACACTGGCGACATGTAATCGTTTCAGATGAGTCCTGTTTCCGGCTTGTTAGAGAACAGATGAGGTGGTGCAGTACATGTTTGGGCACTTATTCATCATGGTGGAAAAACTGCTCTTCATATCCTCCAGGGATACGTCAATGGCGCCTCCTACAGGCATCACGTGGAGACGATATTTCTACTGTATACTAAAGCAAGGTTTGGCAATAACTTTGTGTTCCAGGATGACAATGCCACTGCTCACAGTGCGCATATTGTACAGGATTATCTCGGCTAGGAGGACGTTACAAGATTGCCATGGCTAGCAAAGTCTCCATATTGTAATCCCATTCAGAACTGTTGAGTACTGAGCAGGAAAATTGCTAACCACGATCCCAAACAAGCTTTTATTGACAAGTTGGGATGAAATCACGGTGGATTACATCAATAACCTCATCGACAGCATGCCACGTCGCCTTGGGGAGGTTATTACAGTACGAGGAGGACCAACCAAATACTGAATGTTAAATATGAACTGATATAATGTTACAGACGCTATTTATAATAATTTGATGTTATAGTTTGTCATTATACATGTTTTGATAAGGTTTTGTTGTGAAAGGTGAAATGTTTATTTACACATCTTCTACAGGTGTCTAATGTTCATGATGTTCGTAGAACCTGTCTCATTATACAAATTACATGTTTAATATAACATGCATTTCTCAGTTTGACAGTGCTAAGTGTATTTGTATTTCATCTTAATAATAATATTTGTTTCAAAATATGGAAACATTTTGCCCAAGACTGCATTTCAATCTGCTATTAAGTACAAAGTTACCACAATGAGCTATCAGTGGGCCCGTCCCACTACGGGTTTTGAATCCCGAATTCTAGCGCAAACGTACCGCTAATTCACAAGGAGGTTGGGCTACATTTGGCAGATTTCATGTTGTTTTTGTTCTTCCCAATAAGAAGGTGTGAACAACTTTTCAACTTAGGAAATAGCCTCGTACTTACGGGAACTTCATACCACACGTGAATGCTAGAACGCTAAGCCTAAATCAAATCTTTTTGATTGAGAGTCACGTGTTTAAATGAGTATTTCGTCACACACACACACACACTAGTGTTAATTAACAAAACCCAAATCGTTGATATATAATATGATGTAGTAAGATAAAATTCGTCATAGGAACAATGAAGTATTATAAAATGTTCGATATTAAACTAAGAGCATAAAAAAACGTTTCACATAAAAAAATAAGCTACTGTATATAACATGATACCATAGAGTGGAAGGTAGAACCGAGATATTAATGGGCACCAAAAATAATCAGAAGGAAAAGTGTAGTTTATAAACTAGTATTTTTTTTAGGAACAAATGTTAAACATATGCGGGTCAAAGTTGAGCCATATAGGTGTGAAATATAAACCACGTATGTGTCAAAGGTTAAACAAGCACGTATGAAGTTAACCATATGTATGTCAAAGGTTAAACAGTCGTGTCAAAGGTTGGAGCACGGTGATAGATAAATTCCTCTAGTTTTTGTGGTCGAATTAAGCGAAAAGTAGAATCATTTCTACCCATAATTCATTATTTAGAAAAAAAAAGAAAAAGAAAGGCGCAGACGAAAGCGTGTAGTCTAGAAATCTAGCTTAGTTCAAACCAAGAATTTAAAAAATTAATCAACTGATAAAGAATTTAAAGATTTGTTTAAATTAAATTCTGAAAGAAGCTCCTTAACCCTAACGCAAAATATTTCCATCTTCTCGCTGTAATGTGCCTGGCAGGAATTTGTAATTAGATGATGTTTGAGTAAAATTTACAGTTGGATAGTACGAAAAGATCTTAAAAACAACAACAACACGAACCTTCTAGACCACATGAACTTTTCCAGACCACGCGAACCTCTCCAAGACAATACGAACCTCGTCTAGACCACAAGAACCTTTTCTAGACCACACGAACCTCTTCTAGAACCACATGAACCTCTTCTAGACAACACGAACCTCGTCTAGACAACAAGAACCTTTTCTAGAATACACGAACTTCTCCTAGACCACACGAACTTCGTCTAGACCACAAGAACCTTTTCTAGATCACACGAACCTCTCCTAGAACCACATGAACCTCTTCTAGACAACACGAACCTCGTCAAGACCACAAGAACCTTTTATAGACCACACGAACCTCTCCTAGAACCACACGAACCTCGTCTAGACCACACGAACCTCTCCTAGACAACACGAACCTTTTCTAGAACCACATGAACCTCGTCTAGACCACAAGAACCTTTTCCAGACCACACGAACCTCTGCTAGACAACAAGAACTTCGTCTAGACCACAAGAACCTTTTCTAGAACACACGAACCTCTCCTAGACCACACGAACCTCGTCTAGACCACAAGAACCTCTTCTAGATCACACGAACCTCTTCTAGACCACACGAACCTCTTCTAATATCTATAAAACTAACAATAATCTACGCCGAGAAAAAATCAAAATAAATAAATTTAGTCAAGTTTAATAAATAATTATTCATTTCTGTCACCCTGTTTCGATGCTTATAAATCCGATAGTACCATATAAAAAGATGAACGAGCCTAAACCAATTACAAGTCATGGAATCAAAAGTTTCTGTATAAGGACTTTCATTTGAATATATATATATATATATTATATAAATGTTCTCGAGTATTTTACTAACAGAAAACATTTCTTTTTTAAATTCCTCAAAAACAGAACTCAACTAATAACTGAAACTAAAACGTAGATGGTGTTACAGAAGTAACTAACATATTAATAATATACTTGTGTTGATTATACAGAAGTAACTAACACCTAGATGATATATTTGTGTTGATTATACAGAAGTAACTAACATATTAATAATATACTTGTGTTGACTATACAGAAGTAACTAACACCTAGATGATATATTTGTGTTGATTATACAGAAGTAACTAACATATTAATAATATACTTGTGTTGGTTATACAGAAGTAACTAACATATTAATAATATACTTGTGTTGGTTATACAGAAGTAACTAACATATTAATAATATACTTGTGTTGGTTATACAGAAGTAACTAACATATTAATAATATACTTGTGTTGGTTATACAGAAGTAACTAA